AGAGAGAGAGAGAGAGAGAGAAGAAGGAGAGAGAGAGAGAGAGAGAGAAGAAGGAGAGAGAGAGAGAGAGAGAGAGAGAGAGAGAGAGAGAGAGAGAGAGAAACCCTAGTCTACTTACAACATATGTCTCAGGACAGAAGTCATCCACTTTCTCTCCTGTCTGAACATTCACATTCCCCAATGCTATTTGCAGAGCTCTCTCGTGACCTACAAACTTGCCCGCATAAGGATAATCTTCAGGTCCTTTGCCCTCGGGATACTCCTGAAGGGGACGAAGGATACGCTCCAGTGGGTCAAACACCAGCTGATAGAGGAATGTATTTTTGGCTTGCATGAATCCATCTCGATATTCTTTGGTCACTTCTAGGTGAGGCATTTTCAGGTAAGATGGTAGTTTGCATAAAACCTGCCAAAACAAAGCTTTGATTATTAAGAGAATCACATAACTTCCACTTCCTCAAACTAGGAACTCCATATACAAACCTTAACAATAAGGAAGGTTTATTATCATCATATTAAGATAATAAGAGATACATAAAGTGAATCAAGAGCTATAATAAGAAAAGGAACAACATGCCATGGAGTTTTGAGTCTGGCTAGAATCCTAACTGGAGAAAAAACAAAATGAATATTCAAATTAAAACTGCATAAGAATATACAATATAAAGACTGACTGACAGAACAAGGAATGAGGTAAGAGAAGGAAAATCAATAATCCAGGGAAATGAATAGAAGGTATCCATAACCTAATTCTCCTATTTGCCAACAGTTAAGTCAAGCCAAATGTGTGAGAGTAACATACAATGCCATGTCCATTGTGATTTCTGTTCCTTGAGAGCTAAAACCACTGGATCTGGGAGCTTGACTGCCCAAGTGTGGCCCAATATCTGGGCATTAGGCTTACTTAAGTAGCAACTCTCTGTATTGTTTGGCTTGTAGGCCTGGCCTAAAGAAATGCTAGACTCCTGTCCTTCCCTTTGAAATATTATTTTTCTACATAAATATTTTTTTGCTTTGTTTGCCATTTTCCATGGTCTATATTTATCATTTGATATGCTGTATCAAATTTTCTTAATATCAAATTTTATGTAATACTCCTTGCACTGCTGGAAGGAAGGAATAGAATACTGAGCAAAGAAATTGTGTCCTCCTTGCAGCCAGTGCCTTTCAAGTCATGGGTCATTGAGAGTCCATTTGACATGTGTTTACTGATGAAAATAATATTAGAACCCCTTCATAAATATCCTCCAAGAGCTTTGTACACTTAAGGCAAGTCATTTCCATCACCCTGGTCTTAAGCCAAAAATTTCATGATGGCATATTCTCATCACCCATGGACTTAATCAAATTTTTCCATAGCAGCACATTCATGTCACCTGGCTCTCTCTACTGCTAATTACTTGTCCTACCTATCTCACCAGTCTACCCTTTTCCTTAATTTAGTATTAATATTCTTTTAAAAATATAATAATCATAATGTCATTAATAATAATGGTAGTGATGATGGCATCTCTGTGCAACAAAATTTGATAAAACACTATAATGGACAGCAAGTGTACCCATTGCCAATTGGTTAAAATTAGATTTTTTAAATTCTACCATTCGGCATTCATAAGACTTAACAAAACGTCAGTCTATTATTTCCTGAATTATTGTGGCTCTTTCTTCATTTCTATCTTTGTCCCTACTATAATGTTTATGTTTGTATTCAGACTGTAGGTGAACTTTAAAGGTGAAGTTCAAATCTGTTATGTAAATCATAAATGAACAATTACTAATGATAAACACAGAAAATAAGCTTGTATTTTTTACTTTCCAGGTAAAGGGGATCATAAATCTTGTTATACTTTCATAAAATAAACAGCTGGCTTAAAAAAATGTCACAGACCCTGAGTCTTCTTTTTGTCCTGACACAACTCTTTAATTTTAAAATCTCCCAATACAAGACAGCTACACCTCCTTAGTATATTCTACCATAGAACATACACCTTCAACTTACATTATGAATATCTGGATTTGTGGTAATAGTGAAGAACTTGCAAGCCTTGGCAAGTCCAATACCATGCAACGAGGGGAGATAGTCACAACCTGAGAGGATGCACATGTTGACAAATTTGTCAAAGGTGAACTTGTCTCGTGGCATATTCATGGATATGTGCAGCTGTTCTTGCTCCACCAAGATACCTCCTCCATTATTGTCCATCTTGAACAGAATCTGGAAGGGGAAATATCTAGCTAGTGATTAACAAAATAGGCAGATGCAAAAGCTTTTTACCTAAAATATATGTAACTACCCTTGTGGTACACACAAAAAAAGAAAAGAAATAAAAACACATACAGAAATATTAGTTGTAAAAGCAAATCCAATTCTAAAGAAGTGTGGAAAATGATAACAGTTAATAAATTATAAAAAGAATATGTCTATACTAGAAAATCATGTCAGCAGTAAACTGCAGTAAAATAACTTTAAATCACATTTTTATTTTTAAATATGCATTCAAATGCCATTTACAGACCAAGAATGCATAATCAAAGATTGAAAAGAATGAGCACTTTTAATTAACCCATTCCTGCCAAGAAAATGATGTTTACTGTAGTATTGTTTTATGAAATGTATCTACACACAGATGGCTCCACAAGTACCCACCTGATTTTCCCCTTCCTTGTGTTTTCTGGATTTTTTTATGCTATTAATATTTATACTGTTATTATCATGAAGAGATCATAATGATATTTTAATTATTAGTGTTATTAACAATATTAATTAAAGGTGAAAAAGGTGAGACTAGTGATCCACTTACTGGTGACTAAGTACTTGTGAAACCATCTATGCAAAAATACTATAAATAAAATACTGTAGGTAGGGTAGGTTTGTATGAGTCAACCCTGGTGGCATTGGCCTAAAAGATAAATGGTTTTCTTACTATCCTTTTCTAATAAAAAATAATTTGAGCAAGCCTTATGGCCTAAATATAATCTGATATGATTTTGACTTTTAGTAAACAAAAAATAAAATGAAAAGAAAATAAAGGAAGAAAATGCTTTTGAATTTTTTTTATATCAATTATCTTAGCTTCATTTTAGTTACCTATTCACATTTAAAATTCCAAAGCCATAAGCTACAAAGCTCTCTCTAAACATTTCTATGAGAAACCAATGGCATTCTAGGAAAAAATGCCACACCCAGTACATCTGGGGCGGATGTAAAAGCATTGCAGCTCATGCAAACAGCATTTAAGGAAATACCTCATTAAATGCTAACCAGTACATTCTAATTTCCAAGTTCATTCTTTATTCTGATGACTTTTTTATCAGTTGGTTGGAACTCTACCAAAAAGATCAATAGTAGTATCTAATGAACAATAGGTGAACAGTGCTCTTGCTATATATATTGTCAAAGCTTTCTTACTATATTGAACTTGAGATTAACTTTGGGTCCACACAATCTAACTCTTATATGTGAACTATTTATTATTATTATAATTATTATTTATTTAGATACTACTGTAATCTGGCTTTTCATGTTCAATGTCTAATTGTTCTAAAATCCAACATACTGGATGAACAATGCATACACTTGTAATAATTTCTTATCCTTCTTTTCTTGAGGGGGAGACATTACTCATCAAGAAACCTAGGTTATAATTATGAATTTCAGTTATGAAATATACTCATATTGCTCCCATGTTAGTGTGCGAGGGTATGGGTTGGGCATGGGGTATCAAAACATATGCATATCATAACATATCAATCATATTACACGTCCAGCCATTTCAAAGCTACCTTATGTTACAAGTACGATCTTAGTTCTGAAGTGGAAACTCATAATTCTTCCAGTCACATACTTTCTTGCAGCCGAAGAGGATCAGATCAGAATCTTCTGTTATAATAAGTTGAGCAACGCCACTCAAATTCAGGTAAGCCAGCTGTGAGTCTGCTTCATATGGGGCCACTGTAAATATAATAAAAAATATATAACATTGGCTTGCCTTATATAAAACATACTATAGAGACAAATAAATTCATAGAAAATGAAAGGTAAACAAAAGTAGATGACATGTTGAAATATATCAACTCTTCTTCTGACAGAAACAAGAAAAAATGGAGGATAATTGTTAACAAAAGGAATGCATCAAGTGATGCAAAGGCAAAAATGCAAAAAGGACATGAAAGAAAGAAAGAAAGAAAGAAGAAAATCTTATTCTATGGCAAGAAAGTGCATAGAACAGTTTTATACATAAAATGTCAAATAAATATCATCACTTACTATTTCATACAAAGAAAGACAGACTAAACAGATAATAAGGGTAAAAGATTACCTATAACATCTATATTTCTAGCACGGCAAGCCCTGATGGTATCAGCTGCCATTTCTGATGTGATGTCAACACATCTCTGGAAACATTCTCGTGCTTCTTTTGCCTTCCCTTCACGTAAGAGTTCCTTAGCCTTCTTGCGATTTTTTTCACGGTTCCTGAAGATACAGTACAGGCCAAGTATCATTTTCTATACTGTGAATTCAATTGCCAACAATATACATTTATGCATATTCATCATGAGAACACCTGCTTGCACATGCACATATACATGCACACACAAGCACAGATACACACATCCACACACAGGAATAGAACAGTTAACTTACTCTCTTCTTTTTTTCTCAGTTATGGCTTTTGATGGAAGATGACATCCATCGAAGACTAGGATTGGCTTAATATCATAGCTCAGGAGCTGGTTAACCTGTTTCATAACATACAACACATATCTGAAAAGTAGACATGACATTATGCAGTACGTTTCAGTGGTAAATAGTATAGCAGCGCATTTAGAGAGAGAGAGAGAGAGAGAGAGAGAGAGAGAGAGAGAGAGAGAGAGAGAGAGAGAGAGAGAGAGAGAGAGAGAGAGAGAGAGAGAGAGAGAGAGAGAGAGAGAGAGAGAGAGAGAGAGAGAGAGAGAGAGAGAGAGAGAGAGAGAGAGAGAGAGAGAGAGAGAGAGAGAAG